TGTGTGTGTGTGTGTGTGAGAGAGAGAGTGTGCGAGTGTGAGTTTGTGTGTGTGTGATTGAGTGAGTGTGTACGAGTGTGAATGTGAGTGTGATTGTGAGATATTGTGTGTGTGAGAGTGTGATTGTGAGATAGTGAGTGTGATAGTGTGAGTGAGTGTGATTGTGTGTGTGTGTGTGTGTGTGAGAGAGAGAGAGAGTGTGAGATAGTGTGTGATTGTGTGTGTGAGTGTGATTGTGTGAGTGTGTGATTGTGATAGTGTGTGTGTGAGACCCTCAGCAGAATAAACACGTCTGCGTCTCTCTGTAGGATCATTCAACGCTGAGTGACGTGAGAGGCAGACGTGGAGACAGAGAGTACGATAGTCTGGGACGTCCCGCCATCTACACGACGTACCGTCCGGAGCGATCCAGCAAGAACACGAGAGAGATTGAGGAGGAGAGAAATGAGCGCAGACGGAGAGTCGAGTCCTACGTCAAATCCAGCAATATGTCACTGGTGAGTGTGTGTATGAAATCAAAATGAATCCATCTTCCTTCTTAATGCATGAGGCATCCATTCAAATGACAGTTTGAACTGGTTCACATCGACTGAATCAAGTTTGAAAAGATTTGAAGAATCAAACTGTTTTTAAAGGATCAGTATATTGAAGCTTTAGACACAACATTTTAAAAAAACCTAAAAGAAAAGTTTGCATGTGTTTTTTTTTGTATCATATGTGATGCATCAGGCTTTTAAGACTCATATAGTCTGATATGCACAAAATCCCACAATGCACAAAAATGTCTATTTAATATACATGTCACTTCTGTAATTCCTGTCATTCGTCACAAAATCAAAAGAAAGAAATAAGAAATTATATTCTGCATTAAAAATCATTAAGATTTTTTTTGCATTGTGACATTATTTTCATGATGTTTAAGAAAACCTACTTGTATTCTCATCACCATAATGCAAATAAATCAGTCAAGTATTTATATATGGGTTCGAGTTTATTCTCCTGCCTTTAATTTATGCTCATTTAATTTAAAAAATCTTTGTATTATAGTTTATTTTTTGATGAGAATCAAAGTTTAGAATAATAACTAATAACAAAAAATGAAGGTTGTTTTTAATTGTCATAAATAATTTCATAATGCAAAAAATAGACTTTTTTATATTCATGTGTCACTATTGTATGCCTAAAGAAAATGTTTATTTTTTTATTTATATATATATTAATTATTTTCCTAACTATTACGTATTTATAAATTAGTGAGTGTTTATTATCCTTCCTTTCATTTATGCAGATTTTATTTGTAAAATGTAAATATGTTTTACTTTTATTATTATATTATTTATTTTATTATTATATTTATTTTTATTTTTATGAGAATCTTTTTAGAATATAAAAAAACCCTCAAAAGTAAGGTAATGAAGTTGTGGAAGGAAAATGTTCTTAATTATCATGAAAATAATGTGACAATGCAAAAAAATATAGTAAGAATATGGAGGAAAACACTGCTCAATTTTATTCAAAGACCCAAACTGAGCAAAGATATGCAATTTGGTGCAGATACTGATATTTGTGACCAAAAAGTGATGAAATTCTGATATTCTGATTGTATTAAAAGACCTTTTAAACTATCAATCAGACGACTGTGCGACAGGTTTAACAGCAAAGTTTGATCATGTTGATCATTTAGAGGCATTTTGTAGCTTTATAGAGTTAAAACTACATCATCGTGTTTCTTGATTTGACATCAGCAGTGAATAAACGGTGATTATTCCACATATGGTCCAGCTGGAGATGAAGAGCAGCAAGCCTTTTACTGTAAGTAGATCTCAGATGACGTGGCTTCTCTTGCAGGATTCAGGGCTTCACCGGGATCAGAGTTCTCCTCCTCCATCCGTGAGCTCGGGTCTGACTGCAGATGCCATCGGGGAAGGATGGAAGCGTGGCTCTCGCAGAGAGATTCACCGAGACGTGCAGCGAGAGCGAGTTCCTGAAGGAGAGGAAGAAAGCTCTGCTGTGAGCTCCTATCAGCTATCCGAAGCCGTTTCCAACTACTTCCAGTGCAGCAACGGCGGACTGACGCCGAAGGCAAACCCCAACGCCATCATCATACACTCTCACGGGCCGGTCATCTGATCAACACACCATGCTTCCTGCAACACAAGCGTTGTGCTGATCGTCAGTGCATGCAGCTTGATTATCTGTAAACTCTTAAAGGGACAGTGCACAAAAAAATGATCATTTACTCAGTCAAACCTGCATGGTTTTCTTCTGTAGAAGTGTCTGCACTCGTGCATCGTGCATATCACTCGTGCACAATAGTGCAAGTCTTCTGTAGTCTTGATAATCTTCCTTCTGCAAAGCACTCGGATCTCATGTGCATCACAATCGTTTGAGACGTTCAGTGTCGTGGATGTCAGATCTGGATATTTTGATAAGATTTGAGGAAAGGAGATTTGCTTTAGTTCATGCATTAGCTAATATGAACTAACAGTGAGTGTATATATATATATATATATATATATATATATTTTACAGCGTTTATAAATCTTTGTTAATAAAAAATATGGTTGCTCATTGTTTTTGTTAACTCAAATGAAAACCATTAAAAATTATGAATTATTTCAAGTAATGAACATATTGTTTTATATATTTTATTTTATTTCAGCTAGTTGCAAAAGCAGCATTTCTCATTTTCATTTAGTTTAAGTACTAAAATAATTAAAACAATTTATAACACCTATATAGATATTTAAAAAAACAAGCAAAAATGACAAAACGCTTCAAAATTACTATAGCCATAAAATATTAATTACTTGAAATAAACATTAGCTGAAATAAAATATTTAAAAAAAACGTATGCCAATGCAACATTTTCATTTTCAGTTAGTACTACAATAACTAAAACTGAAATAAAAACTTAATAAAATTAATAAAAATGATAAAAGCATCCAAATTACTAAAACAAAAAATGACAATAAAATCTCATTCCAAATAACTCAAGTAAACCAATAAAATTTTGATTTAAAAAAAGCAGTAGTACATTTGGAAATTAACATTAAGATCAATAAATTCTGTAAGTATTGTTAATGTAATTAATGTAAATAAATGTTTGATCTGCTTTCATTGTATAGACAAGATTATATAAACATTCCTCAGATTTTCTCTTTTTTGTGTGTTTTTAATGGCTGGAAGAAACTCATACGGGTTTGGAACGACATGAAGGTTGAGTAAATGAGCATTTTTTTAGTATTTTAAGTTTGAACCGTTCCTTCAAGCAGACGATCAGCACAAACTCTGGTCTTTGAGCAGATGTGATGATGAACTGGGAGAATCACTCCGGAGTCATTCCTATCACTGGATCTCACGAGATGATTCAGTCGAGGATGATGGACTCCAACACTGATGTATATAAACGCGTTTCTACTCAACCAAGTCTTGCTGATCATAATTTGTTCCTGGTTTAGACACGGTCTACCTCTGCAGAACTCACAGTGCCAACATAACAAAAACTCTGACGGTCAAGAGTGTCATTATGATGGTACTTTTATGATACTTTCTCGTATTATTTTGTATAATCGATTTGACAGCTACAAGCACATATCAGACTTTCATGTTTGTTTGAATTGGCTCCTTTTAAAGACCATAAACGGATTTATTACATATTAATCTGTCATTATACTAAACATTCTCCTACAAGTGATTTTATAGGATGTTTATATTTATATACTTGCTCAATCGGTCAAGAGTTTGAAATTTTTATTTTTTTTTATTTTTATGTTTTTGAAAGAAGTCTCTTCTGCTCACCAAGGCTGCGTTTATTTAGTTAAAAATGCAGTAAAAATTGTGAAATATTATTATAATTTTTTATTTTAATTTTACTATTTTAATATCTGTTAAACTGTAATTTATTTCTGTGATCAAAGCTGTATTTTCAGCATCATTACTCCAGTCTTCAGTGTCACATGATCTTCAGAAATCATTCTAATATGCTGATTTGCTGCTCAAGA